AGGTCCAAAACACGGCTGCCAACCTGATTACAGCTACCAGCAGATATGAATACATATTCCCAGTCTTGGCACACCTACACTGTTTGTTTGTTAGGAAGTTAATTAAAAAGGAATTTATATAAAGCTGCCTTTTGCAAGTTTTCTTGCAAGTGACCTGATATATTTGAATTGGTTTTAAATTTGTTTAATTCTATTTAAGCACAGTTTTTATTATTTTAGCTACTGAGAGAGTTTTATTGTATGTATTATATATTGTGGTTTTGTACTATATGATTTCTAGTTGTGCCTTGATGGGTTAGAGTGTTCGTGCTAATGGGGGGGGGTATAGACGTTGAAATGATAGACAGACAGACAGACATATGTGGCATTTCCCAGTTATTGGAGGGTAGTTTTTTTTTCCTCGCCCTGGAAGGGAGAAAATAATCTTCTTCTGGTTTCAGAATTCCTTCTCTGGATGGCTTAATTTGGGATTCTGCAAGCCAGACAGAAATGGCCTCTCTGCCTTTCTGCAAATTCTTAGTCATATACGCTCCCCTCCATCCCACAATATTGTACCAAGCCCTTATCATATAGAGCATGTGAATCATCATGGTAGAGTGATAATTATAGGGAATGCATTAGAAACAGAATTCTATTTTAAGAATAATCACAGTTCTCTCAGTTACTAGGACCTAAAGGTACATCAGAAAAACAACCCATGGTCAAAAAATGTAACCTTAAACAAGCAATTGAGTTCTACAGGCATGAGTTATCAATCTTAATGAATAAAGAGGAGCAGTTGCTAACTAGTAGATGTGATATGTCACTACTTCTTGCTTTGTTAAGTGGAGGAAATGATACATTTTCTTTCTACTCCTCTTGTTTTTCTCATCTGCATATTAATTGCTGAAGTTTTAATGCAATGCCACATAGAATTTTATTATGGCATTGGAACTTTCAGTTGTCATATGCCATTTCTCAGGGATTAAAAACCTCTCTATCAGTACAGATTGCAGAGGGCCTTCTTGGGTTGTTCACCACCCCAGTATAGCCAAGGGGGAAAAAGAAGAAGAAGACAGTATGTCACTTTTCCTGTACTGTGATGGTTCTACTGGTAGCTCCTTAATTTCCAAACTGTGGCATCTGTTCACCAGAACGCATTTTTCTGGGCCATCAGGTAAAAAACTAGCTTTGCCAAGGGAATTATTAAATCACTGATGTTGTTTTTGCAGCTAGATTTGACATTAGAAGGCTGGTTTTAGCTTGCTTTATAGGATTTTGTTTGTGGTTGTTTTAGATTTTTGCATCTTGTTTTGTCCACAACTGTTGCCATGCAAGAAGGCATGTTATAAATGGACAACTGAAAGCAGCAACATCTGTCCATTTATGTCATTTGCATGTCTTATGAAGTACGGGTGGGTGAGCTCTATATTGCTCCCCCCATTAAGTTCTGATGGCACAGTTTAAATCATGTAGAGCAGTGGCCCCCAACCTTTTCCAAACCACAGACTGGTTGGGTGGGTGGGGTCCGTGCGCAGGGTGCATACGTTTGTGCATGGGGTTCCCCAGGCTCAGCCCCACCTGTTGATCTTTTTACACAGCTTGGGAAAGTTACTTCTTCAGCTATAGTTCCCAGCCGGGGCATGCTCACAGGTGGGCAGGGCACCTGTGCATGCAGGGGGGTGGGCCATGCATGCAGGTGGTGTGTGTGTGTGGAGTGCATGTGGGGGGGGGAAAGAGATCTGTCTCTATGGCCCAGTCCTGCCAAGGCCATGGCCCGGTACCGGGCCACAGACCAGGGGTTGGGGACCCCAGGTGTAGAGCATTTTGATTCCTACCTCTTTCCTCTCAAAGCCTGAAGAGATTCTCCTAGGTTACAAATGACAGCCAAGAGAACCCTAAACTCTGCAGCACTGCTTGCTCTTCACATGGTGAGATTGAGATGGAGCTGAAGATCAACACCAGTGACTACCAGCAGCCCAAGACATTGCTGATAGACCATCCTCTGGGCTGGGCTAAGCTAGTCACAGCCTGAGATCAGGGGTGCTGGTGGAGCTCCACCCACAGAAAGTCTCTTAGGGTGTTCAGGGATAGCTGCCTGAGGTCATAGGTGATGGCAAGCCCCATCATTTCTAATGGTGAAGGCTATTCGTTCGTTCGTTCTTCATTCTTACCCTGACTTTCTCCTTTAAAAAAAAAGGCCCAGAGCAGTTAATATCATTAAAAGACAATAGTGCCAAAACCCCCAGGTTTGGCCATTTCATTCAAAGGAGGTGCTTTGTGGTAGAAGTGGGGATGTTTGCCTTTTTTAGGTCCCTTGCTTCAAATATTTGTCCCAGTCGTCATCATCATCATCATCATCCATGTTCGTAGTTGTCCTGTTCTAGCTATCCTTTGGGAGAGACACCATTTGTGTCAACATTTCTTTGCTTGGATGGCTGCATGAAAAGCGGATCCTATGGAGACAAATTTCTTGTCCAAGCTAACAATAGGACCTTAAGGATATTCTTTCTGTAGGAGTAGGTTTCCTTGGGTTCAGCTCTGTATTTCCAGCTCCTGAACTTCACTTCCAGGCTCCAGCTGGGCGAACTTTGCTGGCATCTCTAGGTATGACACATAATGCATAATTTCTCCCTTAAATGCAAGTTCAGGTGGAAGAAAACAGTGAGGTGCTTCCCAGTGCTTTCCTCACTTCTGTGTGGTCATTCCAACCACCATATCACCCTTTCCCACATTGATTGAGGGTACTGCTTTTCAGTGCCAAAGGACCAGGTTGGCGGGAGAGGCTTAAGAAACTCCTGCCTTCAGAATCTGTGTTTAAACCAAAAGCTGAAAATAGGGTGAGGACGAGAGATACCACAGATGGCATAGTGTGAGCAGAGGTGTTTGTTTTTCTCCCGTCTTGTTGTGAGGTGCCCCCCCTCAAACCACAAATCCCTTCTGAAAGAAACACGTTTCTATGTGTAATGTCCAGTTTCAGCCTCGGGCCTTTATCACTATAAATGGCCCAACAAACTAATGGGCTGATCTCTCCTGATAAGATTCCAGAATAACTTAACTATGCTTTTATGCTTTCTGTTCTGTTAGTTGAAAATTAGGAACCGAACAGGGAACAAGAGAAATAAAGGTCAGTCAGGAAAATGACAAATTAAATGAATTAAGACCAATAAACTGTAAAAACACACAAGCCAGTTTTTTCTCCTGTTGCTCCTGTCACATCAATTCTTCATTTTAGTTTTTACAATGCCTTCCAGCTGTAATTCATTCAGCCTGAAGGTTCTAGTCTTAACTTGCTGCCTCCTTGCTCTTACCTGTTTCTTTTCTCTACATTAGTCCTCTGTCCTGCTGTTCATCACAGACTCATATTCTATGGCGGTTTGCCACTTCCTCCTTCCACCGTAACACGGGGGTGGGTGGGTTCAAGTACAGCTGCCTTTGTGGCTGTGCAGTAGTCTGACAGCTGCCCTTTCCATTTTCAATGAACTAACAGTATGAATGAAGCAGCTGCTTCCTAGCAGGCCCAGAGGAAGGGAGATAAGAAAGGCTATTTTTTGGGGGAGGGGGAATTAAAATGCTCTAAACTTCCCAGCCAGCATGACTTGTTTTCTCTCTTTCTCTCATTTTCCTCCAAGTAGGTGGTGATTTATATCCATCGTGTACAGTATATCACTCTCTGTTAGGTGCCTTTTGCCTGATGTTTTCACTTGCCAGTTATTTTTCTTTCCATTACAGCTGCACAGATTTGTGTTTTCAAGCTGCAGCTCCTAAAATTTCCCAACCAGCTCAGGGAAGTCAAAAAAATACAAATGGGCACAACTCTACCTCCCATCGTAATCCAGACCCATATTAGTCTTTTTAAAAAAATACTGTACAGAGGGTGCATGTGACTATAACATAGTATGCTTATCCTTTAAATGTATGTATAGAATGTGACTTTCAAAGTTAGCAAGGCTTTGTGTGAGATCGTCCCCCTCCCGACACATATGTACAGTAAGTTTGAATCAGAACTTGGCAAATCCTCTTTTTGGACCGCAACATTCAGAATGCCTGAGTATGGTATATCTAGTGCTGATGCTGATTGAAAAGTAATGGGAGCTGTCATCTAAAAATAAGTAACTTTTCTAAGTTTTTCTTTGAATAGACCTGGTTTGTGGGAGTTGTTACTGTGCAAATTCTGTGGAAGGAAACCAACAACTTGCCACCCCACAATTTTTATATTGCTTGAATTCTCAAGTTGCTTTACAGACTTTCTGTAGAAAACTTTTGTACACCTTTCAGATTTTGTCAGAATTCACTCCCTGGCTTCCTAAAATGGAGCCTTGTATCTCTCCACTACAAGTCCACCGAGAGTGTGATATGCTGCTCAGGCACGTATTTACACAAGAGGCAAATTCCATTAAAACCAGTGGGATTCGTTGTTATTTCTCAGTATGTAAATTGGCTCCCCTTTTGCTTTTGGCCCCAGATTCAAAGTGGTGGGCCTTAGTTTTAAAGCCCTACAAAAATTAGCATCTAGACATCTGCTGGACTACCTTCCCTGTCAATCACACTTACACACGAAGATCTAGATCCTGAAACACTTTTCTAGCTGTGTTTGAGATAGAATATGTGACTGAGATAGAAAATCTGTTTTTGGGCTTCACAGACTTAAGATGTAACACTCAGTTCTATACTCCCATGCCCAAAGCTGATATGGGGTGGGAGGAATGTTTTCCACATCATTTTGTTAAATCTGGGAAATGGGCCTGAGTTTTCATAACGCTTGTTCTTGAATGGTCCGCCTGGCGTTTCAGTGAGGTTGACAAATTGTGCAGTGTGTGATATTTATTAGTTCTCCGCCCCCAAATCAGCCTGGACTTGTTAAAAGTGAAGCAACTTTGGAGACTTTTTAAAAGCTTGCAACTCTTATTCTGTGTACTCGTCTGAATGAGTTTAACCTGATGTCATCACAGAATGAATGTGATTCATTACTGTTTATTCCTACACTGTTTGCTTATGCAAAAATGTCCTTGATTTTGCAGATGCTGGGAGCTCAGTGCTGGAGATCTGAAATGGATTTACCAAGCTCCAATTTTAGTAGCCATTGGGGTATGACCCTTCCTACATACAATTTATTGTATTCCTAAAATAGGCTTACTGTGTTGGATCCAGAGTGACTCCAACTTAGAGGAGATCTATTGAAATGACTGGGTTAAAGTTAGTCAGGACGTAAGCCCCAATGACCTTAATGGTTGAGTTGTAGCCCAGAAAAGAGACATTTCCAGTTAGCAGTGTACAGATTTGTGTTTCTGGACTACAGCTTCCACAATTCCCAAGGTAGCGTGGCCAGTGGTCTTGCTGCTTGGAAGGTTCTCTGAGCTGTAGTTGAAAAAAAAACCCAGCTGTGCACACCTCTTATTTCCAGGTCCTGGTCAAATCTGGTTTTCTGCTTCTGTTAATTGAGGCATTTTTTAAAAAAATGAGATCATGGGAAAAAATGATTTCTGACTGTGCTTTCCACAGTTGTGGAGAGGGCAGGAATCAGCAGTTATAATATTTCTTCACTCATGTGCCATAATTTGCAAGATAAATAAAGCTTCAGTTTTCAGCAACTGTCTTTAAAACAGGTTGTAACAGTTTAATTTATCTCCTAGTTCTCTGCAGTAGGTCTGTTCACTTAGTTGTAGCTTACTAAGTTCCCATTTGCTTAAATGAGCCTTCTCCAAAACAGCCTATGAGATGTTTTGTACTGTATTTCAAGTCAGATCAGCCTTAGGCGACATGGAAAGTACGTTGAGAGGTGCAGTCCAAAATACCTGTAGACCTTCAGGTTGGAGGAGATGGACCTGATGGTTTACCAGGTATAGATCGAATTCAGCTTCTCTCAGCTGCTACATGTTGCATTTGATGAAGCAACATCAGAGCAGACCCCTACCAGTGTTTATACTTGAATGAGGCAGGTGTGTTTTCAGCAAATATTGCTCCCACCATCGTGCCTAGTTCTTCGGCCCTGAGTTTGGTGGAATTAGGAACTCTTTTCCATGCTTAATATACAAGACCACCACTGATACAATCAGTTGGTAATCATTTCACAGGGGTTGTCATCATGCTCAGGTAAAATGCAGTGGCTGATAGCCTGATAGGCAACTGGCAGACCTTAAAAGAGTGCAATAAAGCTGGGAGACACAAAAGCTGGCTATACTGGACCTTGGATTGAATTAGATTGACCTTACCTTTCACAACATACACACACACACACACACACACACACACACAGAGAGAGAGAGAGAGAGAGAGAGAGAGAGAGGAATCCTTTTCCATCCCAAAGTTCCAGAAATCAAGTAGTAAAAGTTGTCCACAAAATATTCCAGTTGAAAAAAGCACTAAGCTAAGTGTTTTGATTACATTAGGTACTTTTAAACAATGGAATAATACAAATATATGAATTGTTTTACAGTTAAATTTTGTACTGTTCCTGAATACTGTACGGGTTCTAGCAACAAAAATTTGGGAGACAAATGCCGTTGGCTATGACATAAGGAAGCAATATAGGTAAGTCCCTCTGTTAAATCTAATGCTCAAGGTTTACTCAGCCTTCTATCCTTCCGAGGTCAGTAAAATGAGGACCCAGCTCGCTGGGGGGAGGGGCAATGTGTAGCCTGCATAAATAACTTGCAAACCCCCCGGAGAGTGCTTGAAGCGCTATGGGGCGGTATATAAGCAGCACGCTTTGCTTTTTTTGCTTTTGCTTTGTTTTGATTACATTAGGTACTTGGTAAACAATGGAATAATACAAATATATGAATTGTTTTACAGTTAAATTTTGTACTGTTCCTGAATACTGTACGGGTTCTAGCAACAAAAATTTGGGAGACAAATGCCGTTGGCTATGACATAAGGAAGCAATATAGGTAAGTCCCTCTGTTAAATCTAATCATGGGTTTCACTTCTAATTACTGTCAAAAATCAAACAGATTCTAAAAATGAACATAGATTTTTAACAACAGTCATAGTAGCAGTTGTACTACTACTACTACTACTACTACTAATAATAATAATAATAATAATACTACTACTACTACTACTACTAATTCAAGTAAATTTCAGTGCATTTAACTCTACTTGGAGAGTGAATCTGTTGTAGTGGATAGAGAGTTGGTGGACTAAGACTCAGAAGACTTTGGTTTTAATCCACACTTAGCTGTGGAAACTTGTTGATGGGTGATAAAGATGAACCAGTACTTGAACATCTCAAACCCTCTTATAATAATTGTGTGCTGTCAAATCGATTCTGGCTCATGGTGACCTTCTCCTGGTTTTTCTAAGTAAAGAATACTCAGAAGTGCTTCCCTTCTTCTGTGGGGACCCTGGGACTGTGCAACTTGCCGCACAGGCTGGCTCTACTCTCTCAGGAAAGGCAGTGGGGCATTGAATTCCCAATCTCTGACTCCATAGCAAGATGCCTAAACCTCTGAGCAATGTAGCCAAGAGAGTTATTTAGTCATAGTAAAAAATATTCTGGTGTTGCAAAATTACCACAAGAAGGTTTTTACTTCTTTAGTTTACAGTGGACCCTTGACTTACAGACGGCTCGACTTACAGACTTTTCGAGTTACAGACTTCTCTGGCTGCAAAATTTAAGTTCAACTTGCAGCCGGAGAATTGACCTACAGACCAGAAAAAAACCAAAATGGAACAAAAACAGAACAAAAATGGCCGGTTATGGGATTAATCGGTTTTCAATGCATTGTAGGTCAATGGAGACTCGACCTATAGACTTTTCGATCTGGAGCCACCGTTCCAATACGGATTAATTCCGTAAGTAGAGGGTCCACTGTATACATATAAATTAATTCATTTCATCAGTTTATACCTACTTACTATAGACTTCAATGAGGTCAAAAATGTAAGGTATTTAAAGATTTATATAAATATTTTTCTTTTTAAATTTCAGGGAGACTGCATGCCACGTCTCCCTCAGTCCTAATCTTTGACTTGGATGAGACACCTCCCACTTTTTGGGAACCAGTAAATCAGGACTTTCAAAGTGTCAAAAACCAGGGAATTTGGAAAATATATTTCCCAATTTAAAATAATGTATCATTTTAACCCATGATTCGTGGCCCATGATTCATTCCATAATAAGAAACAAAGAGTACTGGAAAGTGAAATAATAATTTGTTCCTCCTCCCATCTGTCTAGTTGCTAAAGAAATGTAGTGAGCCTTTGAGCTTGACGCTTTGAGGTAGGTGGCTCTTGGCTCCACTTTGTCTAGTCCAGACAGCCTTGCTTCAGTGTATCGAGGGAAATATTATTTGATTTCTTTTTATTTTGCACTATTATGAATATTTTAATGGTATGATAACAGAATTGGCCAATGGAAAATGCCAGAGGGTATTTTTCATTTTCCCCTACCTGTAATTGCAACCCAACACTTTATTTTATTTTATTATTCTTTACTTTTATTTGTTTTATTTATACTGTAGTCTGCATTTCTCCTGATAAGGGGAGCTCAAGGCGGTTCACAATATTAAAAATAATAGAATTAAAAAACACAATAAATTATACATTAAAATGATTAACTATAAAACTGATTAAAACACATTGAATAATTAAAAACATATAAACACATAGCACATTGATAATTGCAAGATGGCTGGTGAGATTTAATGTACAACTCCATAAGCTCCTTTTAAAAGATAATGTTTTGTGCTCTGATTATGTTCCTGATTGACTAGAAGTCTCCCCCCTCATTTACACTCTTAAAAATAGAGGAATAACCGAGAATTACCCTTTACATTTTTAAAAAATGTTTCTATAGATAACTAGAATTCTTTTGTTCTGTAGCTATTTTCTTTTCTTTTTTAAGTTTTTTAATTTGTTTTCAATGGGAATAGGATTGGGAATAGAGGGATGGCGGGAAATTTGTTTTCAATGGGGATAGGATTGGGAATAGAGGGATGGGGGCAATAGATATGGGTGGGGGAAAGGTAAAATTCCACAGAGCGAGACAGCACTTTTACATCCACTTACAGTTATGCTAAAGAGGAAGGTAACAAAAAACAAACAAAACAATTTAACAAGTCTTACCAGAATTGCTATTGTTACTAATCTCTTCATTCCCTAACTGGACCTTCACAAATCTATGTCCAGTTCTAAATCAATATTATGACCAATATTTTGTGCCAATTTTATCATACTGTTCTGTAGCTGTTTTCTGAAAGATGTTACTTTTAAATATATACCCTGATATATATATATTTCTCCCCTTTTCAGAAACATTGGTGAAAATGTGTAGAAAAAAATGTTGGTTAACCAATATGTAGTAATTGTTAATGTTGCTTCTTTCTTTGTCTCCAGCAAGAGAGGTTCTATGATTTAACTGGAACATTGAGATAGACCCTTGTTAATATTATCTGCCTGCCATTGTCAAGCCACTTTGTTTGGAAAAGCCCATTTTGCATCCACGGTACTAGCTCAGAAAAGGCAGAGCCTTTGTTGAGTATTCATTCCCTGGTGTGGTTATAAAAGCACTTTTATTCCCTCCAGCCTCCCCACATCCAATTTTGGCTAGCTTTACATTGTTCTTTTAAATGTAGGAAGATATCAGTAAATGATTATTTAAACAATATGATCTGAGTTTTCCTTATCTAATTGTATGAGGCAATGGAAATTCCAACACTGACACCTTTTAAAATTATTCAAAGAATGGAAGAAACACAATTTTGTTTCAAAAGCTGAATTTCATAGTATCATTCCAAAGTGTGTCAGTGTGTTTTCCCCATGTCAATTTTTTTTTACTGCTAATATTGTAGATACAAAGTGCAAGTCATTTTTTGAACCCATTAATCCTACACCCACCCACCCCCGAAACACTGATGAATTAAGTGGTCTGAAATGTTCATTTCACTTTGTGTGGGAAAGAAAAGTTCAGTCAGGTATCTTTTCAGAATTCAAATACCTTACATTGAAGTGCAGAGGTGGTAGCCCGACACTCAACTGCATTGATATAATTCTTCCCTTCTCATTCGCCATCTTACCAAAAGCAATCAAACCTACTGGGCCTGCTATTCAAGTTACATGAAGACAGATTTCTGTTGAATATCAGAAAAAACTTCCTAAATGTAAGAACAGTATAACAATGGGACCAACTACCTTGGGAGGTGGTGAGTGCTTCAACATTGGAAGCATTCGAGAAAAAAATTCAACAACCATCTGTCAGATATATTTTAATGTGGATTCCTGCATTAAGCAGAGAGTTGGGCTCAATGGCCTTATAGGCCCCCCTTCCAACTCCATTATTTTGTGATTCTATGACTATGGCACTTGCTGTTATGAGTCTCACCCTCACTCTTTCTTTTCAGTCAACTGCCTTCTTTCTTTTGCATAGCTCTGTCTCTCTTTCTCTCTCCACTCATCTTGCTACTTATCTAAGCATATCCAGGGAGCAAAACTGCCAGAATTCCCCAGCTAGCATGGCTACTGATTAATGAACACTTGGAGCCTTCCCCCTCCATAAAATTGTGGCATAATTCAAAACACATAAATGTCTGAATTCAGCTCACCAGTATCTTTAAAATGATCTACACAATAATTTGTAGGTAACAAAAAATAATTGGGTTGCTCCCAAGGACCTTGAAGGTGATATTTGCATACAGTGTGGTGCCTATGTTGTAAGTCAGAACATCCTGAAGATACCTTCCAAATATGGTGAAACTCTATTCATCATTTCATGAGAAACTAATCTGGATGCCCTCGAGAACCACAAAAAGTGATTTTTATGCATGACACATGGCCTAATTTTGTAAGTCAAACCATCACAATCCACCAAATTTGATTTTAAAAAAATCTGCCCAGCTATTTTCAAATGACTGTCTGTCAAACACACATACTTGCTCATATTTACATAA